GCCGAATAATAACAAAGGATAACAGCTGGCATTTCTAGAATGTTTTCAGGTTTGCAGAGCCCCAGCACTTTGCAAATAGCACCTCATTTAATCTTTACAGCAACCGTGGGAGGAAGGTACTATTACAACCCCTATTCTACAGATGAACAAACTGGGGCTGTAAAAGGTTAAGTGACTTGCCCAGGGTCACACAGCTAGTAAGTGATTTGAACTCAGATCTTAGTAAATATCTTAGGCTGGATTTGACACCCGTGACACCCTGGGGGTGGCCTACAACACAAGGCTATTAGCTGCCCTACAAAAACATGCCTTATGTTTTCCCACCTTTGTTCTCCCAATTACCCCCTCTGCCTGGAATGCCCTCCCCTCTTCTTCATCTCCCCTTGTCAAAATCCCACCTTCAAGACCCAATGCCAAGGCCACCTCCACCAGGAAGCCCTCTCTTAAGATTATAGGGTCAAAAAAAAAAGTCACACTGTAAACAGCTCCAGGCTGCCAGAGTCATTTTCTTTAATGTACCCTTAATCTCTATCCAAGTATTTTTAGCTCAGAGCTGGGGTTGTCAGGGCCAAATCCAGCCACCTGGCTGTGCACTGGCCTTGAGCTAAGAGTTTTTTACATTTTTTAAACAAAGGATACATTAAAATAACCCTTTGTACAAACCAACCCCGTTCCAGCCCGAATCCGATGGGAGGGGGCAGAAACAGTTGGGTATGGTGTGGAGCTTCCCCAAAGCACTTAGCGCCCCTGGGCCTGTATTCTGGTTATCTGTGTACTCCTCCATCTGTCCATCTACCCCTTGTTAGAGTCTAAACCTCCACAAGGGTGGAAAGTGGGTCTTAACTTTCCAGACAAGAACACGAGGCCATCATGGATACAGTGCTGAACCTGGAGTCAAGAAGACCTGAGTTCAAATCTAGTCTCACCCTCACCAGCTAGCTGTGTGACCCTGGTCAGGTCCCTTAACCTCTATCTGCCTCAGTAGCCTCATCTGTAAAGGGAGGGTATTTGTAGCACTTACCTCCCAGGGCTGTTGTAAGAATCAAATGAGAGAATCTGTGTAAACCACTGAGCACAACGCCAGGCACATAGTAGGTGCTTTTTCTCTCCTTCCACCTCAGAGCCTTGTTGTGAGGGAGAAAGGAGGCGATGTTTGCAGAGCACGTTGCACACATTAATGCACTCTATTATCACTTGTCTCTTCAGAACTTAGCTTGCTGCCTGGCACATAGTAGGTGCTTAATATATCTAGCAAAATACATACTGACTGCTCACTGATTTAGGGGCTACCCTAAGATTACACAGCTACCTAGTGGTGGGGATCCTTCTGTCAGAGGCAGAGAGAGGATGAGGAGCCCAGTCTCTTCACTCCCATCGTGCTGGAGGCCCCCCACCCCACCCCCCCCACTTCTCTCTGGAAGACTCTAGAGCACCCAATGCAGTGCCAACCATGCCCCTGTGCCATGGGCCCCGATCCAAGCAGGACAGCCACCCCTCTCCCCCAACCCGGTTCACTGCCCAGCTTAACCAAAATCCCAGAGGCTGTTTCCTCCTAAAGGGCCCAAGCTGTGTTTGCTTCCTGTTGGGGCCCTTAGCAAACACCCAGGCAGGTCAACTTTCCTGCTGCTCCACCCTCGGTAATGCTCGCTCCACCTCAGGAGGCCCGGGGAGACTAGCCCAGTGTATTCCCAGGGCAGGGCGGGAGTGGGTGAATTCTCCCGACTCCCCACTCTCCAGATCCCCATACTCTCATTCCCCAGAGCTGGCTCTGGGCTGCAAGGTCAGATCACTGAACAATTTCCAAGCACTGGGATCCCTGAGATTCTCTCCTTTTCCTCCCTCCCTCTTAATCAATAGCTATTAAATAAATGAATGAAAAAAATAAAATGGTGTCAACAATGGAAATTCTAGGCCCCCCTTCACTGATATACTCCCTACCCCCCCCCTTTCTGTACTCTAAGATTTCCCCTACCCCCAGCTCTGACCTTCCCTGTTCTAAGGGCCCACCCAGCTCTGAAATTCCATGTTCTAAGATTACACACACACACCCCCACACACAGAGTTATGACATTCCATGTTCTCCAGTCCCTCCCAGCTCTGAAACTCGATGTTCTCAGATCCCTCTCAGCTGGGAAGAGGTGTTCTGGGGCTGCTCACAGGTCTGACATGATGAGATAATGTCCATATAGATGTTTTTAAACCTTAAAACACTTAGAACCCCTTTTCTAGCTCTGACATTCACCGTTCTAAGGATCCTCCTGGCTCCGATATAACATGTAAATGCTCTTTGCATCATAAACCACGCGTCGGCTCTTCTCCTCGCCATTCCTGGTCCTAAGAGCTGACTTTCCTTTAGTGATCACTTAGTTCTAATTGCCTTAGAGCTGCTTGCTGTGACAACCCAGAGGATCTGAACAGTTAGGCTAGGCTGGCTTCCCTCCATCACTAGCTTTGTGACCCTGGGCACATCTGAGCTTCAGTTTCCTCACTGGTAAAAAATTTTTAAAAAGGAGAGGTCAGCCCAGCTGTGCTCCGAGGCTGCTGCAGAGCTGGGATTCCATGATCCTATTAAGATAACAGGCTCCCAGAAAGTGCTTCTGATGACCCAGCACTTTCAGTCATTATCTCTTTAGGACTCCCAGAATACCCCTAGGTCATCGATCCAGATCCGAGGTGTCAAAAGAGCTCATCAGATCAATTAATTTTTGCTAATGGACCAACAAAGGGGCAAATAACACAAATATACTTTCCTCGACCCCTCACTCTCTCACTCCCCACATCCAATTGGTTGCCCAGTCCTATTGATTTTACCAGTGTAACGTCTTTAACTACCCCCTTCTCTCTCTAAACTGTCAGTCACCCATCCCCTCGAGCCTGGTTTGTCCCCTTCCCTCAAGTCACTCCCACTACAATCTCTCCTCCACTTAGCTATCAAAACAATCCTTCTAAAATGCAGCCTCACCGGGTCACCCCACCCCCTGCCCCCAAGAGCAAATAGAAAATCCTCTGGTTGGCTCTCAAAGCCCTTCCGGACTGGCCTTGAGTTTCTTTACTTCCTCTAAGCAGGCTACAATTCAGTAACACTGGTCTCCTTACTGATCAGAACCAAACACGTCCCAAATGGAGGCATTTTCAGTGGCTGTCTCCCCAGCCTGGAACTCTCTCTCTGCTCAACTCTGCATCAGGCTTTCTTTTTGTTGTTCAGTCCCTGACTATTTGTGACTTCATTTGGGGTTGGTTTGCTAGTTTATTTTACAGATGAGGAAACTGAGGCAAACAGGGTGAAGTGACTTACCCAGGGTCACACACCTAGGTCACATTTGAACTCAGGTCCTCCTGACTCCAGGTCCATCCCTCTATCCACTAAGCCACGTAGGTTTCCCTTGCTTTCCTACAAGTCCCACCTAAAATCCTTCTACAAGAAGGCTTTTCCAATTCGCCTTGACATTAACATCTTCCTTCTAAGATTCTTTCTAATTTATCCTATCTCTTGTATACAATACACATGGTGGTTTGAATATTGTCTCTCTCATTCGCTCCTTGAAGGCAGGACCTGTTTCTGCCTTTCTTTTCATCCCCAGCCCTTAGCCTAGCACCTGGCACAGAGTAGGCGCTTAATAAATGCTTACAGCGTGACTGACAGAGCCCTTCCAAGGCAGGTTAAGATTGCTAACCTCTTTTGTATCCTCAGACCCCTTTGGAAGCCTGGTGAAGCCCATGGACCCCTTCTCAGAATAATGTTCTTAAATTCACTAAATAAATAGAAGAAAATACTAAATTTCGGGTTTGAGGTCAGTAAAAATAAAGATGGAAATTTTTTCCCAATCCCTGCTCCCATACCCCAGGTTAAGAACCCTGTTCCAGGGGCAGTTCCCCACTTCCTCCTTTGTTGAAATCACTAGTGACTTAAGAATAGGAACGCCAAAGCTGGTAGAGCAGATATTTTGAGGTAGGCAGATGATCCCCCCTTTAATTCAGTTCCTTTGAGGACATTCTCAATTAAAAGGGCTGTTGACCCTGGATTTGAGAACAGGTAGGAAGGCCTGATTCTCAAGCACGAGAGGTAGTAGATTAAGAAAAGCTGCAGTGGTATCTTAAAAGGTGGAGTAGACCCCGAGTCAAGAGACCTGGATTCAAATTCTACACCACTCTCCTGTGGTGACCTTGGAAGGTCTCCGATTGTGCCTTAGTTTCTTCTGTAAAGTAGGGCTTCTCTCCCTCAAAGAACTGTGAGACTAGATCTTCCTTAACCCTTAAAAGCGCTATGGAAATGTGAGTTCGTATAATTTCTTCTTATCCAGTTTCTCTAGCACCGAGTCTGTCCACGGGGGGGGGGGGGGGGGACTGTACACACCCCAACGCGCACCTCCGCTCTCCATAGCTTCCTTGAGAGCCTGGTCCTTGCTGAAGGTGTCCAGGGCCCTTCAAAAACAGACCAAGGTCTGGGGACTGCAGAGTCCGGCTGCGCTAATGATCGGTCCCTTCCCCGCCTTAATGCTCCAGGTCCTTTTCTGCACAAGCTGGGATGGCCCAGCAGATCAGAAGCCCAGACCCAGGCCGGATCTAGGCTGGCAGAAAGGTGGCACCTTGACCCCCAAGATTTAACCCATGCGTTGTCCGGGGCAAGGGGTCAGGGAGGGGCACCGGGAGGTTTTGGGACAGCCTCTTCCACCCTAGTGCCCCAGCCTGGACGATGGCGCGGGAGGGGTGGAGCGAGGTAAGGGGGAGGGGGTGGGGGGATTGTTTTAGACTCGCAGACGGCCAGAAGGGCTCTCCTGGCCCCGGAGCAGGAAGCGGCCTCCCCTTGGCACGGCCCCAGGGCGGGGCAGCGGCAGGTGTAGCTCTGTTCGGGGCGCTAGAGACTGGCACTCAGACCAGGCAGGTGAGAGCCTTGGGGGTGCAGCGGGCCTGGCTGGAGGGGCTCCGGGGGGGGCTGGGGTACAGGGACGGGAGGGGCAGCCTTGCAAAGGGATGGAAGGGAGACTCGGGGGCAGCTGGAAGGAGGAAGTGAAAGAAACAGGACGTGAATGGCAGAGCGCCCTGGGCATGGAGGAGCCGGACCTCTCGGCACCCGTCCCTCCCCCCCCCAAAAAAACTCGTAACTCAGAGTGGAGGAAAGGGGAAGGGTCGCAGAGTGAAAGCAAGGACCAGGCTCTGCTCTCATCTTGGGGAGAGAGGGAAGGAGACGGGCCAGTTCTAAGCCCGGCACACCGGCCGATTGAAAAATTGATGGTGGAACTGCACGCAGCAGGATGGTTCCGCGGCGGGTCTCTTTAAGAAACGCTAGCGTGCTAGCCCTTTAAGGCGGGAGCGGGAGGGGGAGGGGCAAGCAGGAAGTATGTCCCGGACCCGCTGTCTGGGCTGAGCGGGGGCACGAAGGAGACGCCGAGCTAGCCGGTGCTACCTTGCACCCTCTCCTTCCCGACCCCGAGCCAGCCCTGGATTTCCTAGCAGACAGACCTCTTCTGGACCCTCTCCCTCCCCCCGGCCAACCTAGCGACTGACCCGCTGTGTGACCTTGGGCAAGTCCCTGGTTCTCACTGGGCCTCAGCCCCTCCCTCCCGTTTGTAAAATGAAGGGACTGGAAAACGACGATCTCTAAGGGCCCCGTCTGGCTCCTGACGTTCTAGGGTTAAGGTTCTTTCCATGCCTATCGATCAGCGGCGTCAGGTCCTTCCTGTTCCAACGTTCCATTTTCTTTGTTGCAATTCGGAACGTTCTGTTACAGGTCCCGACGTTCCTTTTGCTGCAGCTGCAAGTGTTCTGTTTCCTAGCGCTCCGAATGTTCTATTTGTTTGGATTCTTTCCATCACTAACATTCTGGGGTCAGACTTGTAGGTGCCAAGATTCCTTTTGGTTCTAATGTTCCGGACCATACTGGCTTTGTTCATTAACATTCCGTGCCCTAAGGCCCCTGGGAGGACTTAAATTTGATGTTCCAAGATCCTTTCTTGCTCTAGCATTCTGTGGTTTCAGGGCCCCTCCGACAGCCCCGTGTCCTCTGTTCTAAGACATTATAATAGTGTGACGGTCTTTGCCTGTAACCTCCCGTGTCTCATCATTCTCCGTGTAATCAAGCCTGGGCCCTTTCTCTCCCCACCCCCACCTCACCTTTTCTAGTTTCAGCCCCCCAGCCGGCCTTCCCCGGCTGCTTAAAGTAACACTCACACGCCACTCTCCCCCACCTCCCAATTCCTTTACCATGAACAGGACGCCCCTGAAGCGCTCCCGGATCCTGAGGATGGCCCTTACAGGGGCCTTGGGGGCATCAGCAGAGGGAGAGTCGGGGCAGGAGAAGCCATTTTTGCTGCGGGCACTGCAGATCGCCCTGGTGGTGAGCCTTTACTGGCTTATCTCCATCTCCATGGTCTTCCTGAACAAATACCTACTGGACAGCCCCTCTCTGCGCCTGGATGCCCCGCTCTTTGTCACCTTCTACCAGTGCCTGGTCACCGTCCTGCTCTGCAAGGCCCTCAGCCTGCTGGCCACCTGTTGGCCGGGCACCGTGGACTTCCCCTCTGTGCGGATGGACATGAAGGTCTCCCGCAGCGTCCTGCCCCTGTCGGTGGTATTCATTAGCATGATAACCTTCAACAACCTCTGTCTCAAGTACGTCGGTGTGGCCTTCTACAACGTGGGCCGCTCACTCACCACCGTCTTCAACGTCTTACTTTCCTACCTGCTGCTCAAGCAGACCACCTCCTTCTATGCCCTGCTTGCCTGTGGCGTCATCATTGGTGAGTGGCCCCTACCCTCTGGGAGTGACCCCCCCCCCCAGATGGGGGTGAGCTTAAGTTACATTAAGAGATTTAGGAGGTGATGGGCCCCATGTACTCTGTCCTGGTCAGATCACACCCGGAGTACTTTGCTCAGTTCTGGGTGCCATACTTTAGGAAGTCATTAATGCACGGGGGCATTGGTGAAGTTGAGAAGCTTGGGGACCAGGCCGTGTGAGGATCAGTTATTTGGAGGGGGGGCAGGAGAGGAGTAGGTTTAGGAGGAAACACATTTAACTGAGCATGTGAAGAACTGACCAGGAAAATGTGGATTAGTCATTTTCTGTTTGGACCTGGAGGGGAGGCTTGGGAACGGTGGATTAAATGGAGAAGTGGCAGGTTTAAGGTTGGTGTGGGATGAGAACTTCCTAACAATTAGGGCCCTTCCAAAGTGGAATGGGCCACCTCAGGAGGCTATCATTAATTCATTAAGGAACTTTGCATTAATTCCAGCAGCTTCTTTGCTTGACCTTCATAATCTCCCTCACCGTGAGGAGTGAACCCTCCATCACTGGAGGTCACTGAAGGGACTATGTGGCTTTGGAAGTCCCTTCCAGCTCTGAGATTTGGGGGTTGTCCCATTAAGAGGTCGTGACTTGTCCGTGGCCACACGGCCGTGAAGTGTTAAAGGTGGGATTTGATCTCAGCCTTCCCGACTCCAGCCTTCTAGTCTCTGTGATGATAAATCACTGGGAGGCAGGCTGACCTCATCAAAAATAGGTGGGGCTGGGCCAAACTCATCATCTCTTTTTTTGACAAGGTTACCCTACCAGATTAGGGGAGTGCCATGGACAGAATGTGCCTGGGTGTCACCCAGGCGTAGGAAAAAAGCCACCCTATGCCCCTTGGAGATGTAGGGTTAGGTCAGGTTGAAGCAAAGGGTAACAGTACGTGGCCATTGTCCGCCAAGGAAGGACCTCTCTACTGGAGTGCCTTTGGGATCCGGCACTGGATGGCCCTGTACCTAGTAACCCCCCTTTTTTTTTTCCTTATCAGTAACACACATGAAGGCACACTAATGTTTTCATATGGTCCAGAACTGGGAGGGCTAGCTAATGCTCGTAATGACAGGATTCAAATGCAGCCTTTGCAGGCTAGAACGTTGGGCCAAGTCTAAGAACAAGGAATTTAATAGGGATCAGAGTAAAGTCCCAAGAAAGGAAGCAAGCATTTATTAAGTGCTTGCTGTGTGCCAGCCACTATAAATTTTATCTTGTTTGACTCTCACAACAATCCTGGGAGTTGGGTTCTGTTATTACCTCATTTTATAGTGGAGGAAACTGAGGCTGAGAAAGTCTTGCCCAGAGCCACCCAGCTAGTCATCATGTGAGGTGGGATTTGAATTCAGATCCTTCCTGGCTCCATCCTCAGCACTCTAACCCCTATGGGATGCTGCTTCCTTGAAGTCGGATGTACTGTGTGGCCTAAATCATCTTGACAACCTGAGAGTTCCACCCTGGAAAACCCTTTTGAAAAATGTGATTATTAGAGTAGGGATTTCCTCCAGGCCCAGAAACCAAAAAAGAGGAGGCCATGCAGACGGCACCAGACCATAAGGACGGCTGGCCGGGGGTCCTCCAATAGAATGCAAACCCGTCCAGGAAGGGGCAATCCCACCTCTAACCTCTGCCAGCTGGGTGTGGGCAAGTCACTTCACTTCTCAAAATCAGCTCTGTGTGTATGGGATGAAGAAGGCGGAGCCATCTGGTAAAAATAGGAAACAAAAGCCAGGGCTTTACTTTGAGGTGCCGTGGAGTGAGCGCCAGGTTCGGAACTGGAGACCCTGGCCCCGGATGCCAGCCGGGGAGGCTTTAAGTGTATCACTTATGTCTCTGGGTTTCCTCGTCTTAACCCCAAGTCACTCTAGCTCTCTTTGATTGGCCAATAAGGCATCCCAGACCTAGCCCTCCTTGGTCACTGTTTGGGCCCCAACTGGCCAGAAACCCTGAGGGTCTTCCTTTCCTCAATCTTTTTTTTTAAATTTTTTTAAAATTTCTTTTTTTTTAAATTTATTTTGACTTATCAACAATCACTTCCTTATACTTTTGAGCTTAAATTTTTTCTCCCCTCCATCCCTATTTTTTTTTTAAAGAGGCCATTCTTTGCCTCCTTCTTATTTTTTGTTTTTTGTTCTCGTGAGGCAGTTGGGGTTAAGTGACTTCCCCAGGATCATGCAGCTAGTGTCAAATATCTGAGGTCGGATTTGAACTCAGCTCTTCCTGGCTCCAGGGCCAGTGCTCTATCCACTTCACCACCTACCTGCCCCTCACTACCTCTTTCTTATTAAGCCTTCGGCACTGAATGGGCTTTGCCTAGGTCCGACTGAGGCCTGTTAAAGACCTTAGCTTGAAAAGACCGAGGTACCCCACTGCATCCTGGGCCATCTCTAGTGGTCCTGGTCCATGTCCGGCCACTGGGTCCCGATGGTGCTGGAGGAGAAAGTGAGGCTGGTGACCTTGCTCAGCCCGGCCTCACTTAGATCTGGTTCCCCTGCAGGTCCCGTGTCACCTCCCCGAGGTCACAGCCCTCTCTGAGAGCAAGTGACAAGCAGCCCCAGCTGCCTCAGGGGTAAAATTGGGGGGCTGGACTTGCCCGCTGAGGCTCCTCCCAGCTGGGTGTGCTCTGCCCCCGAGCACAGTCGGGGCTTCTGTGTGACTTGGCAGTTAAAAAAGAATAGTTTTGCCTTCAGCTTCGTAGTCGAGCAGTCACAGGACATTAGGAGTGGCCTCAGAGGGCTTCTGGTCCAACCTGCACCTGAACAAAGGTGAGCAGCCTGCATACAAAGACAGCCCCATGGTCGGTAGGATGACCTCTGGGGAAAGCCTACCCTCAAGGGGCTTACGTTCCAGCGGGGGAGACAACAGGGTCAAAAGAAATAACATTTTTTTTTGTTTGTTTTTTGTTTTTGCTTTTTGGGGAGGCAGTCGGGGTTAAGTGACTTCCCTAGGGTCATGCGGCTAGTAAGTGTCAAGTGTCTGCAGCCACATTTGAACTCGGGTCCTCCTGACGCCAAGGCTGGAGCTCTATCTCTTTCACCACCTAAAGAAATAACGTTTAAAGTGCTTTGCAGACCTTTAAATGATATGTAAATGTTAGCTGTTATTCATTTTATTATATTAGTATATACGTGATGGACACACAATGAACACCGAGTCTTTCATGGAGAGAAGGTGCTAGTAGCCAGGGGCAGGTTTTGTAGAGGAAGCAGTACTGGCTCTGAGTCTCGTTTTTTGTTTTTTGTTTGTTTGTTTGTTTGTTTGTTTTTTGCTAGGCAGTGGGGTCAAGTGACTTGCCCAGGGTCACACAGCTAGTAAGTGTTATGTGTCTGAGGCTGCATTTGAACTCAGGTCCTCCTGAATCTAGGGCTGGTGCTCTATCCACTGCGCCACCTAACTGCCCTGGCACTGAGTCTTCAAAGAAACTAGGAATTACCAGAGATGAAGGTGGAGGGAATGGCATGCCAGGTATGGGAACAGCCAGTGCAAAGGCATGGAGGTAGAGTGTATGTAGAATGTCAAGCAGAGGAGGCCAGGATTCAAGGAGACAAGTAATGTGTGAAGAGCCTGAAAAAGTAGGAAAGGGCCAGATTGTGAAGAGATTTACATGTCAGAGGCCTTTGTATATTTGTTTGATCTGAGAGCCAGGGTTCTTAGCCTTTTTTTTCTTTTTTTGTACATGGACACCTTGGGCATCTGGTGAAGCCTCTGATGCTCTGTGTTCTAAGGTCCCTCCCAGCTCTGATGTTCCCTGTTCTAAGATCCCTCCCAGCTCTGACATTCCCTTTCTAAGGTCCATCCCAGCTCTGACTTCCTATGTTCTAAGATCCCTCCCAAAGCTGTATCCTAGGCACCTTTGTGTTCTAAGGTCCATCCCAGCTCTGACTTCCTATCTTCTAAGGTCCCTCCCAAAGCTGTATCCTAGGCACCTTTGTGTTCTAAGGTCCTTTCCAGCTCTGACATCCTATGTTCTAAGGTCCCTCCCAAAGCTGTATCCTATGGCACCTTTGTGTTCTAAGGTCCATCCCAGCTCTGACATCCTAAATTCTATGGCCCCTTCTAGCTTTGACATCTATGTTCTAAGGCCCCTCCCAAATCTGATAGGTGGAATTTGAGCTGAGCCTTGAAGAATGAATCTAGGCTTGGGAGGGACTACGTGACCTCCGGTTGTCTCCCTCAGAATCATATCTGTTGCCTACATTCCTAATGGAAGGAAAGGCTCAATGTCAGTTAGAGGTTAGTGAAAATAAAGGTGTGATTTTTTTTTCCCCATCAGAGTTCATGGATCCCTGAAATCTATCCACAGACCCCTTTCCTAAAGAGTTCCCAAGTATTTGAAGGGGTCGTGGAAAAGTGAGTTGGACTCTTTCAGTTTGGCCCAAGACCTAGAAAGCTGGGAAATGGGTAGATTTCAGCTAGATCTAGGCCTCTGCGTCCTCGAGGCCACATGGCAGCCCTCTAGGACCTCAAGTGCAGCTAAATCCAGACTTCACAGAACAAATCCCCCTAATACAAGGATTTGTTCTCTAAAACTTGGACTGGGTCAAAGGGCTGCACCCAAGGACCTAGAAGGCCACATATAGCCTCCAGGCTCCAGGTTCCCCACCCCTATTCTAGGGAAAATCTTCCCAAATTGAGTTATGCCAGAGGAGAGTTGGGTTGTCCTTCAGAGGCAGTGGGTTCCCCATCTCTGGAGATCTTAAAGCAAAGACTAAGCAGTAGAGTGGGGATTCCTGTTGGATTCCAGGGATTCCAGGACCAGGTTGGACCAGAGAGGCAAAGCTAAAATTTGGTAACACGAGTAGGACTGTGGCTGGTGATGATCAGCCTCACTGGCCACTGGTGAGCCCCTTATGGGGACTTCTGGCAAACTCAACCCCCAACAGTCAAACAGTGGAAGGAGCCTGCGTGCTTAGAATCAGAGGACCCAGGTTCAAATCCTGCACCTGGATTCTTACTTGGCTCAATTTCCCTGGGCCTCTCTTTTCATCCGTAAAATCTCATAGTTTCTGAGATGCCTTCCAGCCCTCTGGTCTATGATCGTATTACTATAATCGCTGTAATTCCTAGGTCCGTGAATTCCTGTCTGAAGACTGAGGTTGTCTGGGCTTGGGGTAAGGGTGTTAGGGAGACTGGACCTGGTGCTGAGACATGGGGAGAGGAGCTGGCTGTGGCAACTCCAGAGGGAAGGAAGCAGAGGTGGAGATTGGTGCTTGGGACTCCTTCCAGCCCCTCCCCAGCCCTCCCTCTCCCCTCCACTGATTCAGCTTTCTAAGTGGCTTTGTAAGTTTTGATGCACTTTTATTTTTTTTTTGAGGCAACTGTGGGTTAAGTGACTTGCCCAGGGTCACACAGTGTCTGAGGCTGGATTTGAACTCAGGTTCACCTGACTCCAGTGCTAGTGCTCTATCTACTGAGCCACTAGATGCCCCTTTAATGCGTTTTTAAAATGCAAGTTGCTCTAATTATGACTCTTACTTCTGTTGTTATTAACAGCTAGGAGGTGCCACAGTGCACGGAGCACTACGCCTGGAGTCAGGGAGACCTGGGTCCAGATCTAGCCTCAGGCACTTACTGGCTGTGTGACCCTGGGCAACTCACGTAGCTTTTCTGACCTCAGTTTACCCATCTATGAAATGGGGATAACAATAGTACTTGCCTTCCAAGGTGGTTGTGAGGATAAAATGAGATATTTGTAAAGGACTTTGCAAGCCTTAAAGCGCTATATAAATGCTATAAATGTGGTTATTATTATTATTACTGTTAGTAAAAAATCATAAAATCATAATAATATATAATCATAATAAATCATAATGAAAATAATTCTAAATGAGAACAGACCCTGTAGCTGCAGGGTTGATTTAGTCATGTCCATGTTGTCTCCATCAATAAAATGTAGCTCCTCGAGGGCAGAGATTATTTCACATTTGTTTTTGAATCTCCGCTGCCTGGCACACAGTTGGTGCTTAATAAATGTTTAGGTGACCTTGGGCATGTCACCCTTTTTGTTTCCCCATCTGTAAAATGAGGGGAGCAGTTGGCCTTTTATAGAATCATAGGCTTTAGAGTGGAAAGTCATCTTCGAAGCCATCTGTTCCAACACTCCCATTTCACAGATGAGGAAACTGAGGCCCAGAGAGGTTGAGGTCAGAGGTGTATTGAGTAGCAGAGCCTAGAACCTGGGTCTTCTGGAGTGTTCTTTCTAACATAATGACAAACACGTATATACGTTGTTTTATGGTTTACAGAGTGTGTTACATAGATTTTCTCCTTTGATCTTCACACGAACCCAGGGAGGTAGGCACTGTTATTATCCCCATTTTTCAGATGAGGAAACTGAGGTAGCTAGCAGCAGGGTCACACAGCTAGTATGCAGCTGCAGCAGGATTTGAACTCTGGTCTTCCAGACTCTTCCTTCTCTACGCCTGCAGGGGACCATGCTCCTGTGACCTTCTCTGCTCCGTGGTCTAACACGTATTTCCCCCCCTCCGTCCTCCTTCTCGTTGTTCCGGCTGCAGGTGGCTTCTGGCTCGGCGTGGACCAGGAGGGAGAAGAAGGCACCCTGTCATGGGTAGGCACCCTGTTCGGGGTGCTGGCCAGCCTCTCTGTCTCCCTCAACGCCATCTACACGAAGAAGGTGCTGCCGGCGGTGGACGGCAGCATCTGGCGGCTGACCTTCTATAACAACGTCAACGCCTGCGTCCTCTTCCTCCCCCTGCTGCTGCTGTTTGGGGAGCTGCAGAGCCTGGCCACCTTCGACAAGCTGGACAGTGCCCACTTCTGGGGCATGATGACCCTGGGCGGGCTTTTTGGCTTCGCCATCGGCTATGTGACGGGCCTGCAGATCAAGTTCACCAGCCCCCTGACTCACAACGTGTCAGGCACAGCCAAAGCCTGTGCCCAGACGGTCCTGGCTGTCCTGTACTTTGAGGAGACCAAAAGTTTCCTCTGGTGGACAAGCAACATGATGGTGCTGGGCGGCTCCTCGGCCTACACGTGGGTGAAGGGGCTGGAGATGAAGAAGGCCCAGGAGGAGCTGATCCCCAGAGAGGGCGAGAAGGGCGAGATGGGGGTGTGAGCCCTCCCTGCCCTGGTCAGGGAAGAACCCTCCAGGGGGTGGACAGATCTGGGGAACTGGAGTCTGCTGGCCCCCAGGGAGAGTGGGAGCCACAGTGAATGAATCTGGCTGGTCACGCCTGTATCATTATACCCATTTCTCTAGTGTTTTATGGTTTACTTTATGGTTTACAGAGTTCCTCCCTCACAACCGCCTTGTGCAGGTGTGCACGTATTATTATCCCCATTTCACAGGTGAAGGAACTGAGACTTGGGAGCAGTGACAGGTCACTTGGCCAGTAAGTGTCAGAAGTGGGATCCCAGCTCGGGTCCTCCCAGAATTTCTCTCACTGCTGCCTGTAAAGAGGCATCGGTCTCATTGTAAGGACCAGCCAGAGACTGTTATGTGAGTGTCTGCCCTCCCCTCCTGTCTTGGGGGTGTTTTTAGACCTTGGAGGAGGGGTCTCCTATGAGAGGGTGGAGTGGGTGGAGAAGTAAGTTATCCTCGCTGTCACCTTAGGAACCCCAAGCCAGAGGGACTGCCCCTCCATCCTGCTTTCTTCTCCCATGGGGGATGTTGTGCCTAGAGGCTATTAACTATTGTAAATGTCCCCATTAGTCCCTGGGAAACACTGAAATCTGGAGTGGGAAGCAGGTGTGGACACATGCTTATAAACAGAGCCCTCTTCCCTCCTCACATCTGCATCCACCAAACCCCTTTGAAAGCAGGTGCTAAATTTGCTGTCTCCGTATCTTAAAGGAAAGTATGGCCTTGGCCCAAATGGAGAAAAATGGGCTATCTGCCCCTTGATGTGTGAGTAGCTGAGAGTCCTGGCTGGCCAGAGGGTGGAAGGAAGATTGAATTGAGCCCAGCTTCAGTGAAGTGATTTTTCTCCCCCGTGGAACTGCCCTTGGCCTCGGCCTCTGCCCTTGGGGGTTGCCCTGGCCTCGGCTTGGAAAAGAGCACTCTCACTCCTTAGCCTGGGGTGGATAGTAGCCCCTTGGTTCTCCTTTGGCCTGCCAGGACATCTGTCCCGGGCTCAGATTCCAGCGTGGATGAAAGCCCTCCAGCTGCCCCTATCTGTCTGCTCCCAGCCACAGCACCCAATGATCCGTCTCTAAGGTGAGGGCTGGCTGGGGTTTCCTGGTACTGTGACCTGTGGGCAGAGTGACCTCTGATCTGGCTCTCTTGCTGACTTGTTTTCTGGCCTAGGATTTGGTTGGGGTGGGGGCTCTCCATGTGAGAAGACCTCCCCCAAGTCCCATGTGAGGGCAATGTTTGACCTTCCTTCTCACTCCACCCTAAAGGTGGGAGACTCAAATGATGCCTTGCGTGTTTCAGATAGGCCAGGAAAATGTAACTTCTTTCTTAATGCTGCTTATGCCTATCCCCACACAGGGGCCAGAGGGCATTTTATTCCCATTATCCCCTAGGAATGAAGAGGGCTTGGGGTCATTACAGAGTCCTGTCTGTCTACCTACCCTCTTTCCTCCACATGACGAATACTGGATTGACTTGTATTGTGATTGATATGAAAGGCTGAGTGTGAGGGATATAGCATCCTCTTTGAGACTGAATGTTGGAAAGGGGTGAAAGATCTATCATGTAAAGGTGCTTAATAAATATTTGTTGATTGATTGCATTACAGTTTGCAGAGCACTTTGTTCACAACATTAGTGGCCATCACCACGCCTTGCACACAATAGGTGTTTAATAAATGCACACTGTAGGGGCAGCTAGGTGGTGATACTTGCTAGCTGTGTGACCCTAGGCAAGTCCCTTAACCCCAATTGCCTAAAAAAAGGAAAAGGGAAAAAAAAAATAAATGCGCAGTGACTTATGGAAGGGTTATCTGAGTAGCTGACCCAAGTTTTAAAGACCAGGGCTGTTAAGTGGTTTGTCTGTTGTCACATGGCTAACAAGAGGCTGGGCTGAGAATCCAACCCAGGACTTCTGGCTTCGAGTCTGTATACATTTTGTGAAGAAGGAAGAAAAAAGCATTTGGGTTCTGCCTCCTCTGCTCCTTTTTTTTTTTTTTTTGGCTAGGCAACGGGGTTAAGTGACTTGCCCAGGGTCACACAGCTAGTAAGTGTTACGTGTCTGAGGCTAGGTTTGAACTCAGATCCTTCTGAATCCAGGGCCGGTGCTCTATTTGCTGGGCCACCTAGCTGCCCCTGCTCCATAGCTTTTGTTGAAGTTTAGGAGAAGGAGGTGCAACGTAGTGTGATTCTCCAGAAGGAACAGGAAAAAAGCCCAAAAGATGGAGAGGTATGCATTGGCCATGGTTGGGCTGTGTTTATAAGCCCAAAAGATGGAGAGGTATGCATTGGCCATGGTTGGGCTGTGTTTAGGTAACAGTTATATATCTAGAGCTAAAAGAGATTTTGGAGGCTACCTAATGCATTCCCCTTCATTATATGTGTGAAGAAAGATCTGCGGGAGGTGACTTGCCCAAATCCACACCGGAAGTGAGTGGCAGAGCCAAAATTTGCCCCCAGGGCCACTCGCTCCAAATCAGGACTTTTCCCCCACAGCACCATGCTGATGATATTACCTAAGCTGATTTACCGTTTTGGTTCTATGCCAATCAAACCACCAAATAGCAAAATTAATTTTAGGAACTGAAGATCTAAAGCAGCAGGAAAAGTAGGAATGAAGGGGATAGAACATTAACTCATATGAGGCATAAATCATCAAAGCCATTTGATACTCATTCAAGGAGACAAAAACAGAGCGTGGGAGAAACTAGATAGGACCCCAGAAGTAACATAGCATCCCACTAGCATCACCCACGTTACAGGGTCCCAAAAGTCTCAGTGCGTTTTTAATTAGTTTAGAAATAGGCTGTGACAGGCAGCAGCCTGGCTGAGCTCTCCTAACATAACCCCCTAAACGACTGTAAAATAACTCCTCAAATCAAATTCTGGAGCAGCAGAGCCAATAACAGGTCGGGGTGAGAGACAACTTGGGAGGTCTGCCGGAGGGCTCTGGGACGTCAGGGCGGGATCCTGGCCCCGGGGAACGTTCCAGAACAAGTGTCCCGGCAGCAGCTTCAGAGTTCTCAGCCCAGAGACGGTAAGGGAGCTGGACAAGATTGCAGGGGACCCTTTGCAGCTGGCACTGATTGGCAGCCCTTGCCCATACACAGTTCCAGGGCAGAGAGGAGCCCTTGTGGTCAGTCACAAGGGTCCCTGGTAACAGAGAGGAGCTCTTCTGGCTTTGGGAGAACAGGGGCCCTGGTCACAGCTCCAGGGCCAAGAGGAGCATCAGGGCTTGTGGCTGCAGGGGACCAAGGTCGCTTCCTGGGTGAGACCAAAGCATAGACGGGAGAGCAGTGACTGCACCTCTCCCCAGACCACTCAACCTTAGAAGCAGCAAAAACTCGCAGACCCCCAAAACTGGCTCTGGAAACAGCAGCACACAAAAGCTTGAAGTTCATCTCACCCGAGATGACCAGTGCTCAACTTCAATGTGAAGTTCAAGGTCAAGATGTAGACTAGGAAAATGAGCAAATAAAAAAGAACTCGACCATAAAAGGCTACTACTGAGGCAGGGAAGACCAAGGCATAAACTGAAAGGACAACAATGTGAAAACAGCTATAACCAAAATCTCAAAGAAAAAATGCTAATTGGAAACAAGCCCAACAAGAATTCCTGAACAAGTTAAAGAAAGATGAGAGTGATAGAGGACAAATTGGGAAAAGAAATGAGAGTGATGAAAGTAAATTATGAAAATATTAACAGCTTGGTAAAAGGGCACAAAAAAATACTGAAGAAAATAACACCTTGAAAAGCAGAATTGGTCTAATGGAAAAAGAGGTATAGAAGCTAGCTAAAGAATACAATTCCCAGTGGATACAGCACCAGTCCTGGAGTCAGAAAGGACCTGAATTCAAATCCGGCCTCAGACACATAATACTTACTAGCTGTGTGACTCTGGGTGAGCCACTTAACCCCAATTGCCTCACACACACACACACAAAATAAGAATATAATTCCCTAAAAATTAGAATTGGGCAAGTGGAAGCTAATGACTCCATGAGACATTAAGAAACAAACAAAAAAGAATGAAAAAATAGAAGAAAACATCAATAGAAAAACAACTTATCTGGGAAAAAAGATCAAGGAGAGAGAATTTAAGAATTATTGGACTACCTGAAAGCCATGACCAAAGACATCATATTTCAAGAAATTATCAAGGAAAACTACCCTGACATCTTAGATCCAGAGAATAAAATAGAAATTGCAAGAACCCACCAAGCACCTCCTGAAAGAAATCCCAAAGTGCAAACTCCCAGGAATTATTGTACACAATTGAGCATAGAAATCTCTCTTACCTAATAAGGAAATAGGAAGAAAAGGGGGAAAGAGATATGGGTGGAAGGGAATGATAAAGGGGAGGATGGATTGAGGGAGAAGTAGTCAGAATCCAAAAAAAAAAACAAAAAAACTTTTGAGGAGGAACAGGATAAAAAGAGAAGGATAAACAGAAGAAAACAGCATGAATGAAAATACATGGTACTCATAACTGTGAATATGAATGGGATAAGCTCCCCCATAAAATGGAAGTGGGTAGCCTACTGGATTAGAAACCAGAAGCCAACAATATACCGTGTACAAGACACACGTGAAACAGAAAGACACAGAATTCAAATAAAAGGCTGGAGCAGAATCTATTATGCTTCAGCTGAAATAAAAAAGCGTAGGATAGCAATCATGATTTCAGATAAAGCAAAAGCAAAAATAGACCTAATTAAAGGAGAGAATCAGGGTAACTACAATTTGCTAAAAGGTACTATAGACAATGAAATAATAGCAAAAATGTTACAGCAAGTTTCTCTGATAAAGGCCTCATTTCTCAGATATATAGGGAACTGAGTCAAATTTATAAAAATAAGAGCCATTCCCCAGCTGATAAATGATCAGAGAATATGAACAGGCAGTTTTCAGATAAAGAAACCAAAGCTATCTGTAGTCACATAAAAATGCTCCAAATCACTATTGATTAGAGAAATACAAATTAAAACAACTCAGAGGTATCACCTCACACCTAGCAGAAAAGACAAATGCTGGAAAGGGTGAGGGCAAATTGGTACACTAATAAACTGTTGATTTAGCTGAAAAGTATTCCAACCATTCTGAAGAACAATTGGGAAATGTACCCAAAGGGCAGTAAAACTAAGCATATCCTCTGACCCAGCAATACTACTACCAGGTCTGTACCCCAAAGAGATTAAAGGAAAAGGACCTTATGTACAAAAATATTCATAACAGCTCTTTTTGTGATGGCAAAGATCGAGGGGATGCCGGGTAATGGCTGAACGAGTTGTAGCATATCATTGTTATGGAATTCTGTTGTGCTATAAGAAGTCACAAGGAGGTAGTTTCAGAAAAGCATCACAAGATCTTTTTTTTTTTTTTTGGTGAGGCAACCGGGTTAAGTAGCTTGCCCAGGGTCACACAGCTAGTAAGTGTCGAGTGTCTGAGGCCAGATTTGAACTCAGGTCCTGTGCTCTATCCACTGCACCACCTAGCTGCACCCCACAAGATCTTTATGAACTGATGCAAAGTGAAGTGAGAACTAGGAGACCATTGTGCACAGTAACAGCAGTGTTGTAATGATGATCAATTGTGAAAGATGCAGCTACTCTGATCAATACAATGATCCAAGGTAACTCCAAAGGACTCATGATGAAAAAATGCTATCTACCTCCAGAAAGAGAACTGATGAACTCTGAATGCAGATTGAAGTATAATTTTCTCCCTTTATTTCTCTTGCTTTTTTAAAAAAAATGTGGCTAATATGGAAATATATTTTACATGACTTCACATATATAATTGAGGAGGGGGGAAGGGAGGGAGAGTTTGGAACTCAATTTAAAAAGAAAAGAATGTTTAAAAAATATAATGAATTTGGGGGGGGGAAGATGCACTATGACTTTTGGTAGACCTTTGTCTATATCTGTACGTGTGCACATGCCAGCAAGAAAAATCAGAAAGAGATCCATCTTGGAAGCTATATGGGGAAATGTCTGGCAATAAAATCTACCTGTTTACAACTTCATTCTTTTTTTTTTGGGGGGGGGTCTAGGCAATGGGGTTAAGTGACTTGCTCAGAGTCACACAGCTAGTAAGTGTTATGGGTCTGAGGCCGGATTTGAACTCAGGTCCTCCTGAATCCAGGGCCAGTGCTCTATCCACTGTGCCACCTAGCTGCCCCTAAAGGCTTCATTCTTTACATTAAGTGACAAGCTGAGACAGGGGACACATCAGTGAGTCACACAAAGAAAAGTATGTCTCCATGGGACAGGTGGGCTTCAAAATACCATTCCCCCGGCCCTGCCTGAGTCGGTGCTAACCTGCATTAGTGAAGGTAGTTTCCTTCCTGGGAATTCCCCATATCAAGATGACAGATCTGCTTTCCCACTCCCCTGCCCCCAAAAATTATTTTTAAGGGGAAAAAATGTATAGCTCTTCCACAACTCTTTCTGATGTCCTCTCCCACATACATACTTCCCCATCAAGTTGCAGGTTATTTAAAAAATATGTATTAAGTATTATGTGAAGAACGGGAATAAAAAGGCAGATAAAAAAGGAGATAAAAAGAGCAGAAGCTGCTCTCAAAAACCTAGCCACTGAATA